CATTAGGTATCCAAGTGAAGATGTCAAGTTGTCAGTTGAATAGTTGAGTCTAGAATTCACGAGAGAGATCCAGGCTATAAATAGGTTTGGAAATTGTGTGTAGATGGTATTAGTGTTCAGAGAGTAGGAGAGATCTCTTAGAGAGTGTACACAGAGGCCAGTGGACTGAGCCTGGGTCACTACCACATGCAAAGGTTGAGCTCAGCAAGAGAGAACTGTGGGTGGAAGGAAAGAAAGCCAAGAAACTATGGTGGCCTGGAAACCAAGAACAGAAAGGGTTCAACAAGGAGGGAGTAGTTTGTGATTTTTTAAAAAATAATCGTGTGTGTGTTGTGTGTGTACATGCACGTGTGTAATGGAGGGTGGAGGGCTAGTTGGTATATAAAATAAACAGGAACTGCCACATTGATCATTGCTGAATCTGGGAAGATGGGGGAGTTCATTTTACCATTTTCCTTATTCGTGTATATGTAGGAAATTTCTCATTAAAAAGAAGTAACAGGGACTTCCCTGGCGGTCCAGTGGTTAAAGCTCCGCGCTTCCACTGCAGGGGGTGTGGGTTCCATCCTTGGGCAGGGAACTAAGATCCCGCATAATGTACTGGCATGGCCAAAAGAAAAAGTCACAAAATAAAACAGAGAAACTGAAACACTGATGGTGCTGATGGGTCAATTCAGAGAGTGGATGTGACCTGTAGAGGCACTGGTGGTGGTGACGAGCAGTCTCAGCAGGGACGAGAGCCTGTTGGCAGTGGGTTCAAGAGAGATGAGGAAAAAAGGAGCAAGTGAGTGCGATCACCTGCTTCTAGGAATTCCGAAGGAAAGGGGAACAGAGAGAAATGGGTCAACAGCTGGAAGGAGATCAAGGGGCCAGCGGTGGGTAGGTGGTTGGTGAGCTTAGGATGGGGTGAGGACAGGCACATTTCCTACCACTGCCCTGCACACAAGCTCTAGACACACCCCCAGAAAGCATCCTCCCCCCACATTCTCTGTCCACACCTGCCCCTCCCCATTCATCCCACCCATTCACCAAGGCCTAGACCACGTTCCACCTCCTGCATCATCCCAACTGTATGTGATGTGTCCAGGTGTCAGGTTTCTACCCACATGCAGAATTTTCAAGAAAACTTATTATAGGAAAGTTTTGGTTGTGGTGCTGTTCGGTTGGGGTCTCTGTGGCTCTCACCTCCAGTGTGTGTTTATGCTGTAGATGAAAGCTATACAATGCTCCCCTGATGGCCTTCGGAGGGGAAGCAGAACTTCTACAGAAACAGTAAAGTTTCTTATTCCTTTAGATCTTGGAAGATAGCATTCAATAGTAGCAAGGAGAAAGTATCTTTCACTTGCCTTTCCCACTCTAAAAGACAAGGCTAGAAGCACCAATTCACGCTGAGGGATCACGGACTGCTATTTATTTTTAAAACTAACTGAAAAGCCTCTGCTGCTACCAAAGGACTTCTCTTTGGAAACATCAGAAGTCGGGCGGGAGCAGGTGGGTGGGGAGAAGCCTTCTAGTTTCAGCTCCGTGAAACTGCCCTGAAAAGTAAGATGTGATGGAAAACACTGCTTCCCTCACACCTCCCTCAGAGTATATAAGAGCGAGGAGACCAGGGCACTTTCTTAAGGTTCTTCCTGCTGAGAAGTTTCCCTCAGAAGCATTCATTTTCAGTGCAAAAGGCAAGAACAGACAAGACACTTCTAATCGGGATTAAATACAAGATGCATCAGAGATGGGCTGTGAAGAAATTCTCAAGAAACGAGAGATGTTATCAGTGCTTCTATGATGAGAAGGCTAGAGGGACAAAAAAATTTTCTGTTCCTATATAGCTAAACTGAGGGAGACAAGAGCAAACACATCTTTTTTTTTTTTAATTGAAGTATAGTTGATTTACAATGTTGTGTTAGTTTCAGGTGTGCAGCACAGTGATATATTTGTAACTGAATCACTGTGCTGTACACCTGAAACTAACACAACATTGTATGTATATATATACTTTTTTAGATTCTTTTCCCTTATAGGTTATTACAAAATATTGAGTATAGGGACTTCCCTGACAGTCCAGTGGTTAAGATTCCATGCTTCCACTGCAGGGGGCATGGGTTCGAGCCCTGGTCAGGGAACTAAGATCTTGCATGAGGCCAAAAGAAAACAAAAAATGAAAATATCAAGTATAGTTCCCACATCTTGACTGAGTCTCAATAGCAAGTACAAAAAGGCACGTGAACCTCCCGCCCTAATTACTGCCGGGTGCCCACTGTTGCCGAGCCCTGTGCTATGTATGACAGAGTCCCTCCGCTCACGGAGCCCAGGGGAGACCATCACGACACAGTGTGACAGCCAGGAGGCTACCTGTGGCGGGAAGGCCTCCCTGATCCTGGGGGTAAGGGAGCTTGGGGCTTTCTGACAGAAGCAGAAGCACCATGACCAAAGGTTCCTGAGTGCAGAGAGCATGGAGATTTGGGACAGCCAGGAGTCACACTGTGGTGAGACCCAAACCTGGATATACAGGTGGAGACTGGGTCACACAGGGCCTCTGATGTCATGGGCCAGGGAGCTCTGACTGGAGAGGAAAACAAGAGCAGCTTCGCAGTGTTGAAAGATCATTCCGGTGGCGGCAATCTAAAGGGAAAAATTAGACCATGTGCCGACTTCGAAATTGTGAAAACTGGTGACTCTTGTTGGTGTGACTTGCTGTCAAAGCCAAATTCTGTTTTTGTGTTATAATCGGTTATGCTTGTTTTTGTACCTCAGAGGTGAGGGTTTCATTCTATTTGTGTATTTTTAAACATTCAGATAATTTCATTGTTCACCTATACATCTTCGATCACAAGAGCACAATGTAATCAACCATTGTGAGGTAACTGGATGATAGTTACTATGAAAACGACCTTCAGCTATGGAACCAGGGGCTGCTTCTTCCCTGGGGTTTTCATGCCCTCTCCCCACTTACAAGTCCCGATCTGGAATTTCACCTATGCAGTGATTCCCAACACTGGCCTATGAAAAAGTTTTCACCAGTTTGGGGTTAAACGTAGAAGCAAAGGATGGTGTAGTGAGACTTTCATAAAACAAAATTTGGTCTGCGTAAATGCATGTCTTTTCTTCTAAATTATGCCTTACTTCCTTTTCAGGTATTAAGATTCCCTTTATTTTATGAAACAATGGCAACCCAGTTTTTTGTAAATGACCTTTAATGGAAAAACAGTTGGCTACCTCAGATCTGTGCACTGATTTTTTTGAAATGTGAAATCTTCTTAGAAGCTTGGGAGGTCACATGACAGCTGAGTCCAGGGAGGGGATGGACACATCTGGAATTGACCAAGGCTGACAATAACTTGCCAAAGCATCAGAGTTGACAGCAAACTATGTGACAATCAGGAAATGCTGGCCCAGTGTGTGATTTAATCACTTATTTCTTGCTAACTGCATCTTTGGAATTTAGCATTTTTATGAGAATTATTAAACGTCTTTTCACGGCCTCTGCGTCACTCACATTTAAATATTGTTAAATAAGGTCCTAAAAATGTGTTTACTTTCCTGCTCCCAACTTCATCTTATTTTGGAGAGAGGTGCTTGGAGCCTATTACCTGTTAGCACCAAAGAAACAGCTTCAATAGTTTGGGACCCTGGCACAGAAGCAGCCCTCCGCACAGAGGCTATACCAGAGCGTTTCAGGGAGTACTGACTGCACAGTAAATTAGGACCTGGAGTAGAAAGACCTGTGTTTGGGTCCTAGCTCACAACTAACTAGCTATGTTACCTTGGGTCAGAGCTTCCTCAGCTCCAAACGAGGCTGATGACGGTACCTCCCTGCACAGAGTGGTTGTCTTTAGGGCATCTTGAGGCTTGGAGACTATTCCATAATGGTCATATTGCTATTACTGTGAATACAGGATGTTTACAAAGCACTGGTTTTTACACAAGAATCATGTCAGACCTGAAAAGCTTCTTTTTGATCATCTGATCCAATCTTGGCATTTTATAGATGGGGGCGGGGAGAAACAAGTTCTAGAGAGGACAGAGAAGCAATGAGAGGCAGAGCCTAGACTTGGTCTTTGGGTTGAGCCCCGGTGTTTTCTCTACCACATTAGTTTTCTCCATCTGGAAGCATTTGATTCTTAACTTCCAAGTTTCTCGGTTTCTCAGGAAGGAAAACAGAAGATTTTCCAAGTCTTCATGCTAATCTCTAGAATGCAACAAAACCAGGTGGATTTTGATGGGTATGGTGGACAGCAGCAGGATCTGATGCCAGCAATAAAACGGACACGAGTGCATTGGTTATATAAAGGGACACAAAGGCATCACCAGGAAAACAAAGTAGATACACTTTCTATTATTTTAAATCAGTAGTTTTATTACAATACTGCACTGACACACAATTAAGAGAAGGAATGTCCTGACATTTTCTGAGCATTTCATGGAAAGCAAATGTAACCAGCCAGGCAGTCGAGTCTTCCACATCTTTTCCAAACACAAAGCAAAGTTATATGTCATAACTCAGGAAAGTAAAGTTTTCTTATTCTCATCTACAAAACTTCAGTGTCAGAAAACAGTTATTATGAAGTGGGCTGAGAAAGAAAGTGTTTCCTTCATGACGTCCCAAATCCTGACTCCAGACTTCCACCACCCCCCGCCCCAACTTTCCAGATGACTTTTTATGACACTGCAGATGGTAATGTGTTCAGGGGCTAAATGGGATCTACTTATTATACTTCACTACAATTGAAAGGAAAAGATAAATTAAGAAAATTAAGTCCTGGAAAATGCACAAAGGCAAGGAGAAAATATCTGGGTGTATTAAAAATGAGATGCTCTTTTCACGTAACTCATTTAAAAGGTTACAATTACCATAAACATTTTAACTCCATTAAAGACTGCTGACAAAAGCTTGCTCTTACATCTGCAAGAGCCTTCTGCATTTACACGGGTTTGGAAGAAAGCAATGCACCTTGTGAAAAGAGCCACCAATCCTGGTGGAGCAGGCGTCGGACTATTTGGAGTTGCATAGGCGTTTTTTTTAGATCTGCTTTGTACAAGATACCATGAAACCTTGACCAATTTCCATTTTTCAATAGTTAGTGCGGCAGTCAGATGTTTTAATCCCTGTTGTGCTCAAACGCACAAAAGTACTCTAGGAAAGAAACACTAAAATGGCATTTTGAATAAATTCACTATACATTACCTAACTTGGGAACAGTAAAGGAAGAAGCCCAAGCATGACTCTAGTATTTCATATAGAAAAGCACTGCAGGAAGAAACTTTGTTTAAAAACATTAAAACTCGGGTGAATATAAATACATGTTTGGTTCATCTGTGCTATTTGATATAGAAATCCTATCAGATATTCAATCTACTACGTGACCTGTTTGGGTTTCTCACTGTATTAGCAGAAGAATATACACTGCTGCATATACTCACATATATATGCATATACATATATAAAATTCAGATCATGAAAATTTGTTTAAATACACATACTTAAAACCTGTACCTCTAAAAATAAATACATTAGCTTCTAGTAGGCTAATTTTCAAGAGTTCCTTCACAAACCAATCAGAACACAGCTTCCCAACAATGGCATGTGACCAATTAGCCACTCTTTAAATCCATTATCTATCAGTAAATGTGTTTTTTGTTTTTTGTTTTTTTAAATTCAGATGTACAACTGAAATAGCATTCCCAGAATAGAAGATGAGAGAATTCTGGCTTTGAAAATAAATGTCTTGGCTTCCTTGATGTTTAGTTCCTACAGATGTCTAGTCTTTGCCTCTGCATTTATCAAGCAGTGGGAGAGCATTTTCTAGTGACAGCATTCTCTTCCACTGACATTACCTTCTAATTAAAGGAGTCAGCTGGCATTTCCTTTGCTGTTTGGTGCAAGGGAACAAATACAACACTGTCTGTATCTGATATCACTCCCATCATCACAGTGAGTTGTGTGTTTTAATGTAATTTACAATGTGCTACCACTGAGGTACAGCAGAAGTAGCCCTGGCGTTAAAACCAAAAAAAAGAAAGAGAACAAAAGTCTCCCAGGAGAACAACACACACAGGACCGGGTGGTGTGTCTCTAAGTTCTATGAAGTAACTCGGGACCACTGCCAGAGTGGATACATTGGATAGCTGATACTGCAGTTCAAACAACAGAAAGAGAGGATGAAAAGACTCAATATACCTCCTTTAGAAAAGATGAAATTAACAAAATTGGAGCTTTACTTTTTTACTTTTACATTTCCAAAACAACTTCTTAAAATGATATAAGCCAGACCAAGTTGTTTAATATAGCACAATATTTAACAACTTTGTCATTTGGTTTTGAATACAAGAATTTCAGAAATGTAGGAAATCCATGATAAATAATAGCAAGAAGATTTAATGCCATTGTCTAAATGTTTTAAAAGGAAAATCTATCATAGTTGAAATACAACTTCTAAAAAATACAGTGTTCTAGGCACTCACAGTTCTAGATTGCTAACTTTATAAATTAAAGTGGAAGTTATCCGTATAGAAACAAGGCCTCTTTTTCATTGATTTCGATCTCATTTAAACCTTTGGATATTTCAATCTTCAGATTCCACAAGGTAAGGCTGAGTTTACCAGATATAAATAAAATGTTTAAGTCCATGATGTATTGTAGCACTGAGGAAACAAATGCATCAAATATTTACAGGCTGGCTACAATACTTTCTTCTTTTTTTTAAAGTTAAATGTGTATCAACATCAAGCCACACTCTGTTTTGAATTTCTCTGGTCGCAAAGAAAACGGGGCAACAGCACTTTTCCTCACTCATCTTTCCCCTCAATCCTGAAGTCAGAGGCTGGTCTTTAAGTCAAACGTCTTTTGGGAGGTGGTGGAGGCATGAGCTCCGTGTCCGGGTCCAGATGATGACGCTTTCGCTTCTGTCCTTGAGAAGCTGCCGCACATCTGTTGATGAACTCAAACAGCATCTCCTTGGTGACAGGGTTTGAGATGCTGTTGCACACGGCTGTGGACAAAGGGAGACGTGAGTCTCGTGTGAGTTTTCATGGAGGCGGCTGACTCGCCCCAGGGAGGTGAGGACATGGGGAGACGTTTCCGTCCCAACACGCTAAAACTTTCCATCTTCCCAACGTGGGCGACTTGCTGTGGCTTCAACTGTGCTCCTCCCTCCCCCACCCCCGGAATGAGTGCATTTCTGGTGGCTGCTCTTTACTATTAATTCTAGACCCAAACTTTAAGTATTTGGGTTTAAGCCTGTCTTCACTACGGTTTTTGATCCCTCCAAACAGTCTGTATAGGATATTGATCTCGTCCAGTGCGTCACACTATGGTACATATTCAAGCACAGTTTCAAAAGGAAGTGCGTGCTCCAGTCCTCCAGCCTTTCTCTCTCTCAGAGAGAAGCGCACACTGAGGCACGTAACACGGCACCAGCCACCGTGCCCGCTGAACGGGGAGGCTGCAGTGTAGCTGGCAGAGCGTATTATTCTTTATTTTAGTAACTTGCTTGAAGTAAGGTATTACAACAAAATGACTATTAAAGAAAGCACCTTTCCCTATGTGATCAAAATTGTATTTACCCACTTGGTTTTAGGAAAACAACACGGGCTTAATTACTCCTCTTTTCCAAATTAATGCATCCTGTCTGAACACAGACGTTAGTTCCAACAAGAATCTTCGAATGTACAACAGTAACTTTTAAGCCACAAAACTCAAAGTGGCAATTTCTATATTATCTCATAAGCTTATCATTCGATCATCATCATCACTGACTGAGCACTCAAAGTGCATAATCCTATTAACCTTTATTCTTGGTTTTTATCTTTTTCTTTTAGTTCCACTAACAACAGCAACCCAGAATTGCTGCCAGTAGTAGTTTACCTTAGAGACCTAATTAATATGTGCTGTTTCCCATGAAAGATCCTCACTACCCTGAATTCCCAAAGCACTCACATTGTACCCAGAGCACACCCTGAAGGACAGCATAGCAGGTTTTACGTTTCTTTTTTTTTATTTTATGTTTTTTAAGGTTTTCATTGACTTTGTTCTTCATTGTTTGTAAAACTATCTTAGGAGCTGGAAATTACATTTCCCCTGCTTATGCCATCTTTTGCCATCTGGCAGATGATGGCTTCAGCATTTTGAATGGATCTGCAATTACCAAGGCTTTTGTTGTGGCTGTCATTCAACAAATTCATCCTGTCCGCAGCCCGATTTCCTGCCCTTTAACTCCTCTCCTGGGTGCCCGCAGCAGCCCAAAGGTGAGGGAGGACAGGAGCCACGCGGGGCACAGACCTGCCACGAGCCCTCCGCGGTCCGCATGGCCTTCTGCCCCCAAAGTTGAACCACAAGAGGCAGCACAGTTTGGTTCTAACACTTTAGCTTTTGTGTGTTGTTGTGTTTTGTGTTTTTTTTTTTTTGGGTGGGGGGCATTCATGTAACCTCCACTGGGAGGGTGTCACACTCACCCATGGCAGTGTTGTAGGCATTAGGGAAACTTTTGTCTGTTCTCTGTCTCATAAAGACCCAGCTGTTGTTCTCGAATTTGCATTCTATAATTTTGTTGTCATACTGTTTTAGCTCTTTTGTCACCTGTTTTAAAAGAGAATTGAGGAAAATATTTAAATCATCTGACAGGCTTCTTGCTGCATTACGTGACAGATGCATTAGGGAAATGCCAAAAACACCTCGGTGCCTCTTCACACAGAGCTCTTTGTCATCCGAAGCATCTAATCAAGCGCAAGGATGTGGTGCGCACTCCCTTGTACACTTGCTCATCAATCTGACACCTTATAAATAGTCGTGAAAACGGTTGTCAATATATAGCAATTAAAAGAAGCTAAGGAGAAACCAGCCACTTCTGGGCCAAATGCAAATACGTTACCATAGGGACCAATGCCTTCGATATTGTCTGTATCCCTCTGGCTTTCAGAAACTGAGTATCTGTGAAGGTTTCAACAACTTTTAGAAAGACCACACCATCTAAATTCCTATGTCAGAATCTAAGAAATCCCCTTTACGGGTTAAGATAAAGTTACGCATGAAGAGTAAACATTAGGATCTGATTCAGGCAATGTGCATCCTAACTATTTTGCTTTTCAAGCAGTGATAATTAACTAAAAATCTAATCTTTAGGCTATTTACCCTTTTCATCTCCAAACCAGTATGAATTTAGAGATGAAGCTACCTTTGATATTAGCTGGTAGGTTTTTTGGCTACTTTACCTCAGATGATTGAATATGGATTACAACTTAGTCTATCAACGCTAACAAGTATCCATGGCAACTATAGAACCTTTGAAAATATATTTCATCGGGCTGTGAGGATGGTTTTCATAAATAGGAACCTAAGCTTATCTTCGCAGTTTCAAATCAAATGCCAGTCATGGTAATATTTTAATTCTGTCCTCGTCTTTCACAGCTAACAACTTTTCCTCACAATACGGAAGATTGCAATCAGTTAACTTCATTAGGATTATTTGAAATGCTCTCCTTTTTCTACCCACATATTCACTACCACCTAGGAATATGAAGGGAAGCAAATTTTTTAAAGATGCTTTCAATTCACAGATTAGGCAGTGCATATCTCCATAAAAACTTTCAAATTGTAGTCCTTTTCCCTTAATGAGTATTACACTTGATTGGACTATTTGCATTTTCAACAAATCTGACAGGACCAATACATTCAGTGTATTGGAATCAGACCTGCCCAAGAAAGTGATGCTCTACTTACTTAGCAAACTTGCTAAATTTATTCTCAAATATTCATTATTCTAGTCTTAAGTCCCCTCCCTGCCTTCCTAGGGACCTACCTCCTTTTATTTCTGATACATTATCTATATCCAAGTGTTAGGCAACTTATTCAGGTAAGGTAACCACTTATATTGTACCATAAGTAGGGTCTAACAGATAAGTTTCTAAACCTTTCAGATTCTCCATTTTCTAATTTCTAAAATGGGCAAAGGAGTTTCTAATACACTGGGGCATTGGAGCAATAATAAATGAAAGTGCCTGGCACATAGTAGGCAACCACTAAAATTCTTAATTGAATATAAAATTAGGAAATGAAACATTGCTTTTTTTTTTAAGGGTACAAATAAATTTACTAAAGATACCAAGATGACATGGAAAGGTACACTTTGAAAATACCTGTCAAGAAAATTGTATCACACACATCTACAAGAATGGCTTGCTATCAATAATGTGCAGTCTGCACTTCTACTGACTACCAATCGTAGTACATCTTTATCATATATTTACCATTCTTCTGTTTCTAGTCTCAGAATTGCTATAAATTATGTGTTGCTCAATCTGACTACAGCGATTATGCAGTATTATTAAGTATCTGTGTATCTACCTGGGTACGCATTAACAATCCGGGAAATAGGGCTTTCCAGAAAATGCATGCACCTACCACTAACCTAAACGTATTTCCATGTTCAAGAACAGTACATTGTTCTTCACTGATCACACCAGTTATATTCCCAAGATAGACACAGTGCAAGGTACTCAATTTGGGTAGGTAATAAAATATGTTTAACTTTTAATAAATGTATTTAGGTAATAAAATATATTTAACATATAAAACAATATCTTCCATATTTATACAAACTAAAGACAGTTTTCACTAATGGTCAGATGAAGAGAATGATTAGCATACAGGGAAGGAGTTTAATTTTAGTATCCAAATTCTAATTTGTTACTATGACAATAATCATCCTCAGCCATCACATATTATTATTTACTAAAATAGGATCTGGTTAGGCCTTTTATACTCAGCTCTGTTATCCTATTGTGAGTTAATTAGAGCTTGAAGGTAATAAGAATAAAATATTTATAAATCAAGATTTCACATCTGTACCCATAATTACATTGGATTAATGAGATTCTACTGTTTTGGGGGGAAAAAAGGAAAAAAAGAAAAAGAAAAGAAAATACAGTGTATTTTATATTGAAGAAAAAGTTTTTTTCATGTATCCATCTTTCTGAGTACCACACTTTTGATACCATTTGAGTCTACCAATAATCCGATGTTAAGAGACAGTCAGATGAAACCAGATCTAGTACCTCTGAAGATTTTAGATTAGCAGGTCAATGGTAATACTTGGAACGAAGGGCCCAACATAGAGGCAGGCAGAGCCACAGTTGCTCCTCTCTGCACTTTTTTAAAGGAATACTTTTTGGAACCTAAATGCTGGACACACTACCAAGTCACAAAAGGCGAACCATCAGCGCTGGCTGAACCATGCCGCTCAGAGCAGGCAGAGATGCGCTTCCGTCTCTAATGGTGGAGCACAAGCCCCTAGAATTTATTGTCCCTGCTCTGTGAGAGCTGTTTTGTTATCAAGAGCTCACCTTTCTTTTCTAGAGAGACTGTACGAAGGGGAGGGGGATTTCTCTGAACTAATGTGCTCTAGAGACACTTTAAAATAACGAATATCCTTGGATTGAGAAAGACACCAGTAAGCTGGGAGTTTTTTAACTTTTAATTTTGAAACAATTTTAGCTCTACAGAAAAGTTGTAAAGATAGTACAGAGAGTTCCGGGATTCCCACCACCCAACTTTCTCTAATGTTCATATTTCGCATATCATGTTACATTTATCAACTCCAAGCGAGAAGTTAACATTGGTACAATACAATCAGCTAAACTACAGACTTGATTCAGACTTCCATCAGTTTTTCCACTAATGTCTTTATCTGCTCCAGGATCCAATCTAGGAAACTGCATTCCTTAGTTGTCATGTCTGCTTAGTCTCTTCCAACCTGTGACAGTTACTCAGACCCTCCTTGACACTCTTGAAGAGTGCTAGTGAGATATTTTGTAGAACGCTCCTCAATTTGGGATTTCCTGATGTCTTCTCATGATTAGACTGAGGTTATGAATTTTGAAAAAGAACGCCAGAGAGGTAAAGCACCCTTCTCATTGCATAATGTCTAGGGGGTAGATGAGATCAACGTGATTTCTTCCTGGTGGTGTAAACAAACCCTGATCACTTGGCGAAGATGGTATCTGCCAGGTTTCTCTACTGTGAAGCTACCATACTCTTAGTTCCAGGCACTATGTCTAGCCCTGCTCAAAGATAAGGGAATTAAGCCACTTGCTGGAAGGAAGGGTATCAAAGAATTTGTGGACATTTATTAAAAGCACCACAGAGATCAATACATTTCCTGGGAGAGAGATTTTGAAGTTAGACAAACATCCCTTTTCTTCTTAAAGTTTCGCTCATTAATTTTACCATTCATCCATGAATCTTGCCTGCAGCAATTATTACTGTGGCGTTCTAATGGAATTTTCTATTTTCTCCATTCCTTCTACATTTATTTTATTTTATTTTATTTTTTTAACATCTTTATTGGGGTATAATTGCTTTACAATGGTGTGTTAGTTTCTGCTTTATAACAGAGTGAATCAGTTACACATATACGTATGTTCCCATATCTCTTCCCTCTTCGTCTCCCTCCCTCCCACCCTCCCTATCCCACCCCCCTTCTACATTTATTATCTGGATTTCTTCTGTAAGGAAGATTTGCCTTTCTCCCTCATTTATTTATTTGCTTACTTGTATCAGTAAGAACTCATGGATATTTATTTTATTCTTTGGCTTATGGTAAAGTACTACTGTCATTTATTTTCTTGCTCAAATTGTTCTAGTTTCAGCCACTGGGAACTCTCTCAGGTTGGCTCCTGTGTCCTTTTAACTTGCTTCCACTTTTACTTACTTATGCATTTTTAGCATTTAGTCCCTGGCAATACAAGCTACTACTCTAGGCTCATCTTGTATTTTCTCTGCCTCAGCTCTAGAGTCAGCCATGGGGTCCTCTACCAGGATTTTACAAGAAAAAAATTACTCTTCGACAGTCCAGACTATGCTAAAAAAGTACTAACACACACCACTTGTTTTGGTCAGAATTTTCAATTATTGAGAAAAAAGAGAGGGAGGGGGAAAGAGGAGTGAGTGTGAGATAGAAAAAGAGTAACAATGAGACTCTAAATATGAATGTGTGTGTGTGTGTGTGTGTGTGTGTGTGTGTATATATATATATATATATATATATATATATATATATACACATACTTAGAAGTTTCCACCCCATCTTTTGTGAACTGCTTTCTGGAACTAAACTACATTGACCATTTTTTCTTTTCTGAATTTAAAATTCTACTCAAGCTCTAACTCTGCAGTGTGACAGAAGGTGAATTTTTAAAACGTATTTCAAGTAGATGAACTCAAACAAAAATCTTGTTTCCACATATGCAACTTCAAAGTCTAGTACTTACGAATGAAGGCAGAGAAAATAAAACAACAAATAAATCAGAAATGAAATGGAATTATAAAAGTTTTCCTTGTGGTGTCAGGGCAATACAAATAGCTTAAACCTGAGTTATTAGACAGTCTTTTAGAACTACTACCTTATAGTAGGGCCTTAATATATTATTTTTAGCAAGTGCATCCATCTACTGGAGAAAATAAAACCCTTGACAAGCTACCCTTTTTAAAAATATGCTAGACTTAATCACTTCAAAAAAACGGTCCTTCACTGAAGAACTACTGTGTAAATAACACACTTCACATTTGCTAGGTTAGAAACA